AAAGCAAGAAAAAAACACTTCGGTCCAAGCGGGCGCAGCGGTGGCGGAGTCGAAAAGAGGTCAGGATGCTTTTCTCCCCAGCGCGCAGCGCCAGAGCTCATCAGCCGCCCGCGGGGCGGAAGACCGCACATTGGTCAAGGGCCCTGCGGGGCCCGCAGAGCCAAACGAAGGCGGCGGGCAGTGGACATCCAGAAGGCTCTCTAGAGGTCAAGAACTAATATATATATATATATATATATATATATATATATATATATATATATTCGCAAAATTTTAACACATAGATGATAGATAAATGGTAACACTCGGGCCCGCCCAATCCTCGCGAAATTGCTGGCAAGCTTCGTCCGGCACCGTTCACCGAAGTTACCATTCTGCACCAAAGGAATCACGTAGTCCTCCGAGGCAGGTGCGCATGAAGTCACGAATGTGGGCCAGATGGCGCTGATCGCAATCGGGCATTTCACAGGTGGTCGTCTGCGGCGGCGCGATGTCGGTGCCCACCAAACTGTCTCTCACCTTGTGAAACAACAAGTTTGTCTTGTCCAATGCCCCGGACCCGCGTGGCACATGTGCCTTTGGAAGCGGCCCCCGCTTCACAGCGGCGGCGCGCGCGCACGTGCGCGCGTGCGCTTGCGGCGCCAAGTAGCGGAGCAGTTGCGCAGGCTCTGGTTTTTGCAGCCCGGCGGCGAAGCAGCCCAGGCTCTGCCAGGCAAGCCACCGGGCACGGAGACCCAGCAGTTGCGAATAGCGCGCGCGCAGCCTGACGGCAGCACCGCGGCCGGCGCAGAGGCCAGAAATGTGTAGCTCAGCCTGGCCGTCGCCCAGGGGAACGCCGAGCTAGCGTTTGGAAACGCCGCTGGCGCGGTGCACTCGGCGCCCAGCACGCTGGCAGGCCGCGCAAGATATGCTTTCGCACAGCAAGAAAAAACACTTCGGTCCAAGCGGGCGCAGCGGTGGCGGAGTCGAAAAGAGGCCAGGATGCTTTTCTCCCCAGCGCGCAGCGCCAGAGCTCATCAGCCGCCCGCGGGTCGGAAGACCGCACATGGGTCAAGGGTCCTGCGGGGCCCGCAGAGCCAAACGAAGGCGGCGGGCAGTGGACCGCCAGAAGGCTCTCTAGAGGTCCTCAAGTACACAGGCCCCGGCCGGGCCTGGTCACATGGCCCCTGGCGGGCCAATCCAAAAAGAGGCAGCCCTTGGTGGGCTGGCAAAATATGCAGGCACTTCGGCCAACATCTCAGGAAGTCTCAGAAACTCAAGAGAAGACGCACGCGTCGAGCGGAGCATGGGAGATGGTAGGAACGCACGCACTCCGTCAGTTCCTCCTTCCTGCCAGGTGCCATCTGGAGCTCGAAGAGGCAAAAACCAGCGATCAACGACTAAGTCGCTCGCTGCAACATGAAAATATGGGATAGCTTCATGACGCCGAACCGCTCGCCAGGAGCACTCAAATATGAGAAGAAGAAACTCAACTCACTGAGGCTGCCAACGTGGTCTTAGCCTACTCCACGCTGCAGAACGCCCCTCGCATCCTCAACCGTCCGTCAATGGACTCGGGGTCCACGTAGTAGCCAATGCCACTGGCCATCTTGTTCGCCTCGCCCTTAGTGCTCTGCCTGCCCTCGGGGCTGCAGCGCCTCGCCACCTCATCGCACGCGCGGAGACCTTGATCACCACGGGGCTGTCCTCGAGACCGGCCTTCAGCAGCTTCGTCTTGATTCCCGCGAAGTCAAAGTCCTGCAAACCGTCTTGATCTCCACACTTCTGGCCAGGCGACTCCGTGGGTCTCGTACAGCTTCATCGTCAATCGTCTACACTGTCTTGGCCGTCCTCTGCCTCGTGTTCTGGACTGGCCCCTCTCCGAATATGGCGCTGTCGCTCTCGACCTCCATGGGATCGGGCTCCTCGCCTTCAACCTTCTTGGGCGTCCTCGTTCTCGTAGCGATGCCTGTCGCCGTCGTCAGAGTCGAGCCTCGAGTGCGATCGTCGTCTGCGTGAATCAGCCGCGGCATTATTTCGATCTCCTGGGACTGTCGGATCGATGCTCTGACCTCCCTCATCTGCCACATGAGGCATATCGCCGCCATAGCCATCACGAACAGGATAGCCAGCATAATGTAGATCACTGGGTTGTCATCTTCTTCAGTAAGTGGCGCAGTAGGTGTTGCCCTTGCTGCGGCCATGGGTGATATCAACGTGGCAATGACGAGTCCGAAGCTAGGACTCGTCCTGCTCACCGTTGGGTCCGTCAACCTCGATGTTCCTCCTGATGTGGTACCCGATCCACTCGCGGTGATTCTGCCACGCGTGGTACCCGACCCCTCGCGGTTGACCCGTCACACGTAGTGCCCGATCCACTCGCGGTTGATCTCCGCAAAGTGTTGCCCGATCCCTTCGTGATCGATCTTCTTGCCGATGAAATCAGGACTGCTGTTGGTTCCGCGGCCTGTCGCTTCCTCTGCGGAGGCGGAATCTCGAACTTCTTGGATGCAAAGAAGGCAATCAAAAGCTCAATGCGCACCAAACTCTTAGTCAGGCCGTCAGCTACCATTGCGTCAGTCCTTGACCAAATCAATGTAATATTCTCCTGTGCCACAACACTCTCGAAGCATGGAGACAACCATGCGTGGCCTTTTGTCCGCGACTGAATCACTATCCTTAATCGCAGTGAGCTGCAGATTGTCGCTGTCCCTCACAGCCAGAATCGGCCTTGATGTACATGGCCTCTCAACATCCTTCAACTTGGCGTTGGCTGGCATATATAACTCCAGAAGAAAACTGTCGTAGAAACTGGCCGTGCTCCATTGCCGCGCTGCTGATGTATGCCTCCGCAGCTAACCTGGATCTCACAACTCGCTTGACTCGGAAACTTGCCCATGCAAGCGGCACCTGCTTGTCAATCCGTCTGCCCACAACTTCTCGAATTGTGTTGGTGAGGCGCAATGCTGCTCCAGCCAGGCATGTTCGCGAACAAGGAATCACCGTGGGCCAGTACGCACGCCGTGCTGATGTCCACGACGCCCCTGCGGAAGTGCGGGCCGCACTCGATGTTCTGTTTGACGTAGTCCACGAGCCTGTGGGCATCGACGAGGTCCTGGACCTTCAGCTCTGACGCCCTCTGCGCAAGCCTGTTCTGCTCGAAAAATATGTCGGGGCTCGAGAGATGTGCCAACCGCTGTAGTTGCCCGCTCGTGCTGCGAAAAATGATCAGCTCCTCCACAGTTGCTTGTCCGAACGGAACCTTCTTCCTGTCCGGGGCGATGGAGATATACTCCGCGGCTTTGACCGCCATAGCCTGCGTGACGTAGATCCCTGCCTCGCCGTGCCTGGTGTGTACTCCGCAGTGCTCAAACCCCCCGTCGCGTCTCTCCAGATGTAGAAACTCAGCCATCTCTCCCAATATCTTGTCGACCGTGGGGCTCGCGGCCTTCCTGGCAACCAGCAAGTCGCCAACGTGGCTGCGTATTACCATCTGGAGCTCCCCGCCGTGGTCATACCTGTAGACCCCGCGCTCCAGCTTGGACTCGTAGATGTGCTTCCTTTCGAGGCAGGCCTTCAGATGCTCATGCCAGGCGCGCCCCGCGTCCTCGGCACCGTAGATTAAGCCCTGCGCGTAGAACACCTTGCCCGGGTCCGTAGGGTGCCTCTTGGGCATCCTGATGAATACCAATCCGTCGATGCCCTCTGCCTGGAGGTAGGCAGACTTCGCGTCGCAGGAGCACCCTGCCCAACCCTTCTGCGCCATGAACCCGAGGGTGACCAGCAGAGCGCCCGCTGAACCAGTGGGGGCGTCGCTCCTGGTGTAGGTGGAACGCCCCTGGCAGCCCTGAACGGTATGCTTCTGCGCGACCACCCAGCGCGTGCCCACGACCTTGGCGCCGTTGGCGAGATGCTGCTTGCGCTCGTGGTCTGGGCATCTTCGCGCAGCTCCGAACGCCATCCCCTTCCCCCACTCGTCCTCCATCGGTGCCATGAGCTCCCTGGCATCTTCGCCTGAGACGGCGTCCAAGTCGACCGCCTGACACCTCGCAGCCTTGATCAAATCGCATCCTCGAACTCCCTCGACCTGAAAGACCCGTGCACGTCGTGCTTGTTATTCTTCTGGCTGTCCCGGCTGTCCTCTCGAAGACCTGTTGTCATATTTCACCTCGCTTTGCCTTCGGCGTTGCTCCAGGGTCCTCTTGATAGAGATCGGGACGTCGTCGACGTGGTCGTGGGTCTGCCTTGGGGCTGTGCGCGCTGGCTTGGATGGCGTAGCATAAGGCGTGGGTCCCGAACTCGATGATTCTCCTCCTTGATCCTGCGCCCCTTCGGGCCGCGGTAGGTCCTCCTAAACGTCGTGCAACTCGTCGGCTTTACCCGCGCCCTTATCCAACTCCTCAGGGTCGCGATGCTCAAACTCTTGATGCGGCACTTCTTCGTCCTCGCATCGGTCTTCTTGAAACACAGGGTCCCCCATATTCGGCACCTGCGGCGTCTCCTCATTCTCGTGATGATAGGGAAGAGGAGGATCTGGATCATGGAGGAGGCGAGGCGTCTTGGGACCCCTTCAGGTGGTAGAGGGCGCGTCTCCTCCTCTGGATGCCCTGGCGGCCCAGTGGGCCGCTCAGGAAGCGTCGGTACTTTCTCAGGGGGTTATAGGGAGTACGTGGGCCCTTCCAACATGAGCTGCGGACATGGTGCACGACCTCCCGCCCCCCAGCTTCTCTTCCCAGTTAACCTTCAGGCGGCGCCTGCTGCTGGCAGGCGGAACGTATAAGGAACATCCTCAACATCTCGAGGCCATCCAGCGGCGGAATGCTGCTCAACGTCCATGGGCGCGCGAGCGTGCTCATCGATTGTCATGTCCAAGTAAGTGTGGTCGTGGCCGACGTCGGCAGGAGGTGGGTCGGCGACCTGCGGCGCCTCGTCGTCGACCCCCATCGGGGCCCGGCCGCCCGGCCCGGGCGGTGGCCGCCGGGATGGTCTTGAAGCGGCAGGCCCTCTCGTACCCTCCGCGCGCTTAGAGACGCCCTTCCAGTCGACCAGCTCCGACGCCCCCGCGGCTCTGACATGCCGCGCCGATGCCTTGATCGTGAGGTTGCGATGCGCCAGCCACGCGCTGTTGGACTCATGCCCAATGGCCACCGCTGGCCCGTGCCAGCGCGCTGCCAAGTGCTTCTTGGCACGGGCCTCGCCCAGTCCTCTGCAGTCGTGCACCTGGTCGCCGGTACGTCGAAGCCGCTGGCGTCGTAGCTGTAGTCTGCCCTTGGCGAGGAATGCCTCGCTGATCATGTTGTGGGCATCAAACGTGGCCACCGAGCGCTTCGCTGCGCTGAGTAGTCCGACACGCTGCCTGAAGCTCGGCTCGTCGTCGTCTAGCACCCGCTGGTGCAACCTGAGGTTGCTGCGCTGGCTGAGGAGCTGGTGTTAAAACTTGATGCCCCGGCCCAGGACCCACTGGGGCACGGTGAGTGCCCCGACGTGCCCACTGCAGAGTTCACCGCGTAGTTGATCGCCGCCATGAGCCACTTGACCTGGTCTGCCTCCTTGAAGGCGAGGAACAACTCCGAGATCAAGGGGCGGGCGTGCGCCATCCCGGTCTGGTCATGCCTCTCGCAGATGGCGTTCTGCGTCGGGCTGTAGAGTGCGCTCGAGACTATCCTCGAGCCCATGGTCTCCAGCTCCTCCTTGACTTCGCGCTCGAGCACCTCCGATGTCCGCCATCGCGACGTTCGGAACGCCGAGCGCGAGCAGCCAGGGGTTGGTCGGTTGGCGGGATTGCGGGAGGTGGCCGGGACAACGACCATGTCGATCTGGTTGAGGAACACCATATCGGTGCCCTGGGCGTCGGCCAGTTAGAGAATACCCATGGCCAGGCAGTCGCCGAACTCTCTCCAACGATCTCGTAATGATGATGCCGCTGTCGACGGTGGGGCCGCTAGCTTGATGCAAGTGGGGCAATGATGCACGAGCGCTGTTGCTATTGCATACTTCGGGCCGCCTGCAAGTCGCCCGGCGCGCGCGAGGGCCCGATTGCCTGGATGCCCCAGGTTGGCGCGCATCTTAGCCACAGCCCTCGTGAGAGTAAGACGCTGCTCAGACTCCAGGCTGGCCAGTATACCCTGAGGCTCCTTATCCGCGCCCTCATTCTCGACGTCGCTGAGCAGCGTGACCAGCGCGTAGTTGACGTCGGCGATGCCCCTCATGAAGCCCCTGATCGCGGCCCCGCACAGCTCCTTGGTGTAGAGCCCCGTCTCCTTGGACGTCCTCCTGTTGAACTCTCGCCCTTGGAGGCGCTCTTGGTCTTGGGAGCACCTTCGGTTCAAGAGCTTCTGCAGCGGCCGATGGTTGGTGATCACCTTCCAGGGCTGCTCGATGGTCTTGCCAGTCCTATCGTCCATGAGACCGTAGGCGCACCCATCGAACAGGCACTCGTATGGCAAGATCCTCTCTAGCACCTGGACCTCGGGCTGCTTCCCCCCGTGGCAAATGACGGGCCACTCGAACGCAACGATCACGCCAACCTCCAGCTCGCGCTGAGCCTCCTTGGTAAATAGCTTGACCATCTGCCGGCTCTCCGCGCGGCCGACTGCCAGCTGGGTATTATTCTTCATGAAATGCTGTAGCGCCGTCCAGGGACTGCAGAGCAGACTGCCCCAGAGAACGTCGGCACGCCCAGCTCGGGGCCGTGCTGCCTGCTCGAGTAGATCGCCAGCCTTAGCCGCGCGACGTCGGACTCGAAGACCGTCCTCGGCAAATCCGAGGCGGTGTGCAGCTCCTCCCTGAGCTTGCCAGAGCTCCGACATGAGGCTGTTCGGCTCGCCGCAGTACTCGACAAGGGTACCTGGAGTCCCTCTTCCTTGTCCTTCGCGCCCCTCTGGAAGCAGTGGAAACCATAGTGTCGTTCAGCGGTGTCTCAACCATCTTCTTTACGCATGCTGGTCGAACTCCACGTTGATGTAATGCGCTTGCTTGTCTCAACCCGACCTTCTTCTGCGCGACGGTGCCATTGCGGAATATCCTCCATGATTGGTGCTGTACCGCGAACTCCGCGCCGTTGCCTACTCCCGTCTTGTGATCACTCACGCCGCGATAGTACCTCGAGCACTGCAACCCTCGAGCGCAAGACGGGCACGTTCCCATAGGGCACACCCGGCACTCGTAGAGCGCCCCAGTCGCGCAACAAGCCGAGCAGGCAACACGCGTGACACCCCAAGTAGGTGTGTCCTCCGGTGTGACGTTCTCCGTAGTCAGAGTCCAGGTCGCGTTGGTCACATTCCCTACAGTGGTGCTGTCGTTGTCCTGCCCCTGGGGCTTGTCGCCAATCGCCTTGCTGACCTTGGCCTCTGACCAGCACGCGGTCGCCGCGATGGCGAGCACCTTGGGCCAGCACAAGAAGAGGCAACCCTTGGTGGGCTGGCAAAATATATGTAGGCCCTTCGGCCAACATTTCAGGATGTCTCAGGGACTCAGGCGAGGACGTACGCGTCGGGCGGAGGACGGAAGATGGTAGGAACGCACGCACTCCGTCAAGCGGTGGGGGCGAGAGACGAAAACGGAGGTGTAGGCCCAGGCTCTGCCAGTGCTGTGTGGGCCGATGCTTCGCGAAGTGCCAGCTCTGACTCAGGTCGATGCGGCGCGGGGGCGGCACAGGGGGATCGGCGCGGTGTCACCATCATCACCGTCACCGCCATCACCGCCACCACCACCACCACCACTCACCACCATAGATAGATAGATAGATCGATAGAGAGATACACACACATATATATACACCTAAAAATCGATGTATATATAAATAGGGATGTGGATGGATATGTAAAAGCATGCACGAATATATATATATATATATATATATACATATATATATATATCGATAGGTAGGTGCATCCATCGATAGATAGATAGACAGGTCTACCGAATTATAGATAGATGCATGGGTATTCTGAACAGATAATTCGATACATATAGGTCGACTGAACGATAGAATTGTGAAGAAACCAGCAAGGAACTCAGAGCCATTGCAAATCGACCGCCTATCCCCTTCCCCCCCCAACCTCCTTATCGCGCGCAGGGTGGTCCTATCGGTATTGACATTGCCAAGTCTTTTACCATTTTCGAATTGTGACAGGCAGAACGGCACTGAACAATCTCGCGCAAGTGCAACACAAAGAACAATGAAGGTGCAGCTCGCACTGCCGGAACCTGGATTCACCTGTTGCACGCCCTCTCAATGGTGACCCGAGAACTGGCAACACGTACCGCCGTGACACAAACAACACTGACAGCACGTACAACCGTGACACCGACAACAATGCAACACGGCGTCGCGCGGAGCATTCCAAGCCAGAACAAAAACTGTGAATACTGGCGAACTCGAAAAATGACATAAGGACTACAGAAACGCCAGGGCTCCCCGTGAACCCCACCCTCGGCGGTTCAAAAGTGAGGCCCTGACGGATGAGTCTCTGAAGGATGGAGCCCTAAGCGTAGGAGAGGGATCCCAAGCTGAACCATCGCTGTTTGACGCCACGGACCGTTCCAGACGATTGAAACATTGATGAGACAAGCAACTACCAAATACAACAGCAACAATCATGTTATCCTCATGCGCGATGTTTCCACACGAAGCAAGCGACCATCATGATAACATCCCCACCATGGGGGATTATTGTTCTATAGAGGGGTCCGTTATTCCCATTCCTAGATCTCCCGCCCAATGAGGTCTTGCAACAACCTCCTCCGAGGAATTTCAACATATCCCGCCTCGAAAACGCATGCCCGCGCCTTGCTGCGCCGATGCGAGTCCGCCCGCCAGTGGAGCCCCAGTCGAGGGTAAAGCACAAGGAAGAATCGAGCGACAGGATTGCCGCCTTGGTGGGGATCGGGGCTGTCGGCGGCGACGAAAGGGAGGAAGTCTCGAGCAGGGCCGCTGTTGTTGCCGGGAGCGGCGCCAATGCTGAAGAGAGTAGGGCGCTAGTCCAGCGTAAAACAAGAGCGAAGTTTCGAGCGGGAACGCTGGTGTTGTTGGGGCGGCGGTTGTCGGCAGTGAGGAGGAACACCGCCTTGAGCAAGAAGGGAGAAAGTCTCGAGCGGGAGCCGTGGTTTTGTCGGGACGGGGGCTGTCGGCGGCGAGGAAGAACACCGTCCTGAGGCAAAGGGGAGGAAGCCTCGAGCGGGAGCGTTGGTCTTGCTGCGAGAGGCGCCAATTCAAAAAAGAGCACCCAGCGTAAAACGGGAGGACGTCTCGGGCGGGAGCGCTGGTTTGTCGGGACGGCGGCTGTCGGCGGCGAGCAAGAGCACCGCCTTGAGTAAAAAAGGGAGGAAGTCTCGCTGGGGGGGCGGCGCCGATGAGAGAAAGAGTAGCGCGCCTGTCCAAGCTAAAACGGGAGGAGGTCTCGAGCGGGAGCGCTGGTTTTGTTGAAACGGCTGCTTTCGGCGGCGGGCAAGAGCATCGGCCCCGAGAAAAAGAGGAGGAAGTCTCGAACGGGAGCGTTGTTGTTGTTGGGGGGCCGGTTTTGCCGGTCCCCCAAACCGCTCGAGCGTGAGCCTCATTTTCAATGAAAATGCAGCCGGCGCCTCGGCGAGAGCGCCATGGCGCCTATAAGGGGTCCAACAATAATAATTGTTTAGTAATTCACGTTCAACAGCAACGACGACGACAACAACAACAAACACGTATTGAAACACAGAGGAGGCATGAGTGAACGAATACAGAAAAGCCTGTCTCATGGGGTCCGAGAGTAGGCGGTCGGAAAACTGCACCGAATCGCCAATGTATCGCCGATGCGTCGGCGGCGACGCACCGGCGCCGTCGGTGACCCTCCAGCCCCATCTGTTCGGACCCCCTTCTGGGAGGGTAGGAGGAGGGGGAGGAGGGGGAGGGGGAGGAGGAGGAGGATGAGGAGGAGGAGGAGGGAGGAGGAGGATGAGGAGGAGGAGGAGGAGGAGGAGGAGGAGGTGGAGGAGGATGGAGGAGGGGGGGAGGAGGAGGAGGGGAGGAGAGGAGGGAGGAGAGAGGAGGGAGGAGCTGGAGACGCAAACGGCAGGCACAGCAGAGGCGGCGGCGAGGCTCGGTCGGCGGAGGGCCGCGGGCGCGCCTGGCGCCACAGCTCCGCCAGCCGCCCCGCCGCAGGCCGCGGCTCCGCGAAGCAGGCCGCTTCGCCGCCGGCCAGCAGCCACGGCATGCCGCCGTCCTCGCACCGGCCGCCCCTCCCTGGGTAGTCGAAGCCAATCTGGCGCCAATCTGGCAGGCCCAATCTGGCAAACGGGGGCAGTCTGGCGAGGGAGCCCACGCGAGTCCAGTCTGGCGAGTAACCCAAATCATCCAGTTTGGCCGGGCCAGATTGGCCCTTGGGGCCCAATCCAATCTTACAGTCTGGCCTCCGACTACCCAGACTGGCCGCCCCTCCGGGCGGTCCGAGAGCGGTCCCACAAGGCCGAAAGCAAGGCATAACCGAAGGGATTCAACAAATCACGACGTCGGAGGTCTGGGGAGGACAACACGTGAAAGCCTGGTCGCTGTGATGTATCAGACGCGTCCAAGGCAACAACGAACCCGATGACCGACCGAACCGACACCGATACTGAACTCGACCGACGACGGACAGACCGAGCGAAGCTCAGGAAGGACGCAGCGGCGCAGCAAGCCACCGAACCGATCTGACCGAATGCGGAATGCCGCGCGGCAGCCGAACTGAGTATCGTTTAACCGAGCCCCATCCCCAGCGGCGTGGCCTGGGCTCCACTGGCCGATTTACCCCCCCTGGATGGGGATGTGGGTCGTTCCCTTCGGGTTTCGAGGGGCGTGTCCCCAACTGGGGTGGTAATTTGGTGGGGGTCTCGAAAGGAGATGGGGATGGGGATGGGGATCGGTTGAACGATACCGAGCGCCGTCGCCGTCCTCAGATCGTCGGAGACGCAGCACGGCGGCGGCGATCCGACAACGACGGGCCCAAGGAAGCCCCTCCTCGTGGGGCAGGGGCGGCGGTGCAGAGAGCCGCCCACGACGGCGATGACGACGGCGACGACATCCGCGTCGGCGACGGAGACGGCGGCGGCGGGACCCAGACCTCCGACGGCATGGATATTTCAACACGTTTTTTTCCAGCGATTCTGGCCCTCGAGCGCCGATTTTGCGGGCCCGGCATGATTCTGGGCAAATGCTACTCCCGGGGAGATGGCCCCATGATGGACCCCGAGGCTCTCAAGAGTGCCCCACAGGGCCCCAGGAGGCGACCAGAAGGCCCCGAGGTTCCCCAAGATGCCACCAACATGCCTCCAAAAGGCTCTGAATGAACTTCCCAGAGACCCGCAAGAGGCCCAAAGAGGCTCCCCTGAAGCACCCACGACGTTTCAAGAGGCCCCCGGGATCGCCACGAGGCCACCAAGAAACCCCAAGAGGCCGACAAGAGACTCTCAACAGACATCCGACGAAGCCCCGAGAGGCATCCAAGAGGCCTCTGACCTTTCTGCTCGCATCTTCCTCTTCCTCCTCCTGTTCTGCCTCTTCCACCTCTTGCTCCCCTTCTTCCTCTTCCTCCTCCCTCCTCCTCCTCCTCCTCCTCCTCCTCCTCCTCCTCCTCCTGCTCTTCCTCCTCCTCCTCACTCTTCCCGCTACTCCCCTTCCTCCTCCTCCTCCTCCTCCTCCTCCTCCTCCTCCTCCTCACTCTTCCCCCTACTCTTCCTCCTCCTCCTCCTCCTCCTGCTCTTCCTCCTCCTCCTCTCCTCACTCTTCCCCCTACTCCCCCCCTCCTCCTCCTCCTGCCTTCCTCCGCCTCCTCCTCACTTCCCCCTACTCCCCTTCCTCCTCCTCCTCCTCCTTCTCCTCCTCCTCCTCCTCCTCTGGTTCCCCTTTCATCCTCCCCCTGTTGGGACACGACGGCCTCCCAGCCTTCATTCCGTGGCGCGCCTCCCCACATGCTTGATCAGAGCTATTCGCTTGGGCATCGTGTCTGATAGTGGTGACGATGATGATGATGCTGATGATAATGCTGCTGCTGCTGCTGCTGATGATGATGATGATGATGGTGATGATGGTGATGATGATGATGATGATGATGATGAGGACGACGATGACGATGACGATGACGATGACGATGATGATGATGATGATGATGATGGTGATGATGATGATGATGATGATGATGATGATGATGATGATGATGATGATGATGATGATGATGTGCTCTTGTTCCTGCGCAGGGGCGTCCAGAGAAAACAAGTACACCACTAGGGATGTGGGGAAGAACACCCCTCCTCAATGTTTTCAAGAATGCAGCGCGACCCCAAGTAGGGGAATGATTCCTAAGGGACATAGCCTGGAATTGCGTAGCACTGCAATGCTGTTCTTGGCATTGCAATGATTTGCGTTGCACCGCTGGCGTTGTTTGGCATTGCTGCGCGTTGATTGGCATTGCTAGGCATTGCTTGGTGTTGCTTGGCATTGCTTGCCATGGCGTGGCGTTGGGTGGCATTGCTTGGCATGGCTTTGCAACACATTGCACGTCTTGGCCTGGAGTGACGCTGCTTGGAAGTGCTTGGCGTTGCTTGCGCGCTGCTGCGCAATGATTTGCTTTGCGTTATTGACCGTTGCTTGGCGTAATTGAGCGTTGCTTGGCGTTGCTCGGCATGGCTTCGCGTTGCTTCGCATTGCGTTGCCGAGAAACGCCACTGCATAGAAACAAAACTAAGCAACCCGAGGAACCCTTCAGTAAGGAAACAGTGCCAAACAACCCCGAGGAACCCTGGCGCGACCACGTCCAGCACCCACCAGCGTCTTCACAAACACGTGAGCTTTTGCTTGAGCAGGGACCGACCGTCCCGGCATTCCTATAGTCCTACCACGAAGTGTTCTTAGAACCCAAAAATGTTTGAAAAACGAAAAAAACTCTTAAACCACAAACCCGATGTGATAAAACAAAACACACTCCGCCAGAAATGTTCTAAGAACATTTCGTGGAAACCACCAACGGTTCTTAGAACATTGTTTGGTCGGGCTATAGGCGAGCCAGGACGCTTCGCCACTGCTTGACCCTAGGCAATTCCAAGGCTGGAGAACGGGAAACTGACTAAGCACGCGAAGTCCGAGGGAGGAGCATCGAGAGAGGCGAACGCCTCCTGCACCGCCACCGCCTCTGCGGCCCGGTGCCCACCCGACCAACCCCCAGTCGCGCGCCCGCAGCCCCCGTTCGCCTGCCCCCCCCCCTCCCTGCTCCCTCATCCCTCCTCCCTCCTCCCTCCTTCCTCCTTCCTCCTCCTCCTCCTTATCCTTTTCCTCCTCCTCCTCCTCCTCCTCCTCCTTGTCCTCCTCCTCCCTCCTCCTCCTCCTCCTCCTCCTCCTCCTCCTCCTCCTCCTCCTCCTCCTCCTCCTCCTCCTCCTCCTCCTCCCCCTCCGCCTCTGTCATCCCCTCTCCTCTCCACGGTCTGTTGGGACCACGCGCAAATCCAAAAGTCGGGCCGGACGACGGAAGGAGTCAGCAAGTGGGAGGCCAGTCCGCAAGAAGCCTTCCACGAGAAACCCAACCCTGAGACCCCAGGGCGTCCCTTGATTTTTGGCGTGGTGGCGTCACCCTTTCCATCGCAGAACCATCGAAACCCAAGAAACCCAGGGCACCCTGGTTTCTTGGCATGGGCCGGCGCCAGCTGCAAGAAGCAGAACTCGCACCCCCCGCCCCCATTTCCCGACCCCTGCCCCCCTCAACCGACCCGAGACAGGGGCGACAGGCCCACCCGAAGTGCAGGCCCAACGCCTCAGAGAAAACGTCCACCGTGGGTGTCGCTGCATGGGGCGGGCGAGAAATGGAGCAGAGCAGAGCAGAGCGGCCCGTGGGGAGGCGGGAAGTCCGCCTGCCCCGGCAAGGCGCCGGGCCGACATAACCGGCGAGGTGTGAAAATATCGCAACGTTTGAAGAAAGTGAAACAACAGTGCGACATGAAACAAATTACCGCGGCGCGGCGTGACAGACGTCGAGCGTCAGGCGCCCGGTTGATTGTGTGGTCAACAGCAGCAGCAACGGCAGGAAGAAGGAGGCAGGCGGCAGGAGGACGCGGGGGGGGACGAACGAAAACAGGAAGAACAAGCAGCAGAGCAGACCGAGCAGAGAGCAGCGCGGAGGAGGAGGCAGGAGAGCGAGCGAGAGAGAGCGGCAGCAAAGCAGGAGAACGGCGACAGGACGGACGGCGGAGGGGGGCAGCGGCAGCGCAGCAACAACGGCAGCGGCAGGAGGGGAACGGGAGAACAAGAAATTAAAACAATTACACGTCAGTCCACCTTTTCCGCGGGCGGCGTACGCTTCTCTGTACGCGCGCTCTAAACCAAGGTACCCAATTCACAAGCCTCGCGCTCCATCTGCTGTCGGTGGGCGAAGACAGCTTGCCTGATAATGTCCATTTCTCTTTCCCTCCTTCCATAACATTGACACCCAATCGTCCACGCCGCTTCGCTCAGCAAGCTGCATACTGGCGCTCGTGGCGCGCCGGATATACTCAACCCAGTCTTCGTCAGGTAGCCGTCGAATGCTCACCATCTGTCTCAGCATCTGGCGCTGCGTGGATCGAAGCTTTCGCTCCTCGGCCGCTGCGAGCGTCCAGGTGCTGGAGGCGTACAGAGCGCAGGGCGCCACGCATGCTTTGAACAATCTCAGACGCTGGTGGATCTGGAGGCGCTTGTTGCACAAAAAAACCTTCAAAACGTGGAACGCAGCCCATGCGGATGCGAGCCGGTTGCCAAATTCTGCTCCGTGGACGTCATCCAGCAAAAAATTTCTTGCCAAGATACTTCTCTGACTCGCCGTGCTGGGGCGCTATTGCATTGTGCGCGCCGCACTTTACATGTGGCGGCTGGTCAGATGCGCTGGTCAGTACCACTGTCTTGCCCATATGGACCTTGAGGCCATATTTTTTGGCCTTCGACTCAAAATCTGCGATCATTCTGGAGACGCCCCTTTTGCATCCAGATAGAAGGAGCACGTCGTCGGCGAAGCGCGCGTTCGTCAGGGGATCTTCGGGGTCGTCCACCACTAACCCATAATACATTCCAGTGCGCTTGCTATTCAGCTTGTTCCAGCGTGCCTTCAACTTGCGAAAGATTGCTTCCAAGACCACGACAAACAGGAAAGAGCTTATCGGATCCCCTTGTTTCACGCCCCGGGAGATGTCGAAGGGTCTACTTCTCCCACCAGCGATTACAGTAGCA